TGGGAGGCTGAGATGGAAGGATTGTCTTATCCAGGAGGTTGAGGCTGCCATGGGTCATGATTGTGCCAGTGCACTCCAGCTTGGGTTACAGAGTGAGACCCTGACTCAAGAAAGAAAGAGGGAGGAAGTGAAGGAGAAAGGGAGGGAAGGAAGAAAAAAGAAACAAAATCAAGTAAGAATGTATAAAGAGGATTTTTTGTGAAATTAAAAAGTCAAGAAGGGTTTGTTCCAGCCAATATACATCACCCCACACCCAAGTATCAGAACTGAATTAAATTTAGGTGATGATCACATACACTCTAACACCTTGGGAAAACCTCTGACTTTCATCTTATTTTTGCCATCCATAAAATTATCATAAATAAGGTATCCTTCTGATTTAAGACATCCAGTGGTGTTGAAAGGAGAGGAAGTAAACCAGGGACTCTCAGAAACACTGAAGTTGTATGATCGACTAGCAGCCTGGGAAGAGCCTTATTCGCCAGTTCTGCAATCACGGTGGTCGAGAGACCTTCTCCATGTATGTCCATGTTGGAAACAGATTCCATTCCATTGATGTAAGACTGTGTTTCTACAAACAGGGTCTGCATATACAGGTGATCTTCAAAAGTCTATCAACCAGTCACTTGATACTTTGATTGTTTCAGATAAAAATGTGATCATATCATTTTTACATAGATTTCAGAAACGTGAAATGAAATATTAAATTTCATTGATTTTCACAGACATCCTATCACGTTCTTAGTAGTCATTACATTTTTAAAAGCTGTATATACACTTCAAAGATTTTTTTGTTTAGTTTATCTTGGAGTATTTTTTTTTTTGAGTTGGAGTCTCACTCTGTCACCCAAACTGGAGTGCAGTGGCCACTCCTGGTCACTGCAGCCTCGACCAGTTGGGCTCCGGCGATCCTTCCGCCTCAGCCTTCCAAGTAGCTGGAACTACAGGCACATGCTACCACGCCCAGCTAATTTTTCGATTTATTGTAGAGATGAGGTCCCGCCAAGTTGCCTAGGAGGGTCTCGAACCCGCGGGCTCAGGCAATCCACTCACCTCAGCCTCTCAAAGTGCGGGATTACAGGCTGAGCCACCGAGCCTGGCTTATCTTGGAGTATTTTTACCTCACTAGCATGCTACTATTAATGGACTATATTAACACTTACTATGGTAGCTAGGATAGGAATAGATAAAAATGAAACAAGTATCTTCTAAATTGGTATCAACTAACATATGCCACCAGCACTTCTATGGCTTTTTTGTAGTTCACAAAAGTTTTCATCTTCATTTCAACTACACCATGAGATAGACAGAGCAAGTATCCCCCCTTCTATCTTTATTTTTTGTTGTTGTTGCTGTTGTGTGTTGGGGTTTCCCTCTGCTTGCCAGCCTGGAGTACATAGTGGCATGATCACAGCTCACCACAGCCTTGACCTCCTGGGTTTAGATGATCCCTCCACCTCAGCTTCTCAAGTACCTGGGACTATTGGTATAAGCCACCATGCCCAGCATTTTTTTTATATATATATATATATAGAGGAAATCTTATTATGTTACCTAGACTGGTCTCGGACTGCTGGGCTCAAGCAATCCTCCTGCCTCCCCTAAAGTTCTGAGATTACGGGCATGAGCCGCCTCACCCAGCATTCTTCCATTACTTAGAAGAAACTAAGCTCCAAAAGTTGAAGTGGTATGTTTCCAAGGAAAAGACAACTTTGATGCATTAATACTAATTATCACAATTTGGATACAATTCCAAGAGAGACAGAGAAGCTATAATTCTTTTTTATAAAAATGCATGATATAGAGAAATTTGTTTTTACTTTTTGCTGGTTTAATTTTTCAGATTATTTCATATGGAGGGTGTAGTGGCAAATCTTAAATAGACATCAAAAAATGATTTTTTCATTTTATTATACTTTCTGAATTGCCTCAAGCACAAAAATAAGTATTTCTTTTAAAAGAAGTATCTGTGATATCAAATACAGAGTAAAGTTTGTTGTGTTTTTTTTTTTGAGTTGGCGTCTCACTCTGGTGCCCAGGCTAGCATGCAGTGGCACACTCACGGTCACCCCAGCGTCAACCTGCTGGGCTGAGGAGATACTCCCGCCTCAGCCTTTCAAGTAGCCAGAACTACAGATGCGTGCTACCATACCCAGCTAATTGTTTTATTTATTGTAGAGACGAGATCTCACCAAGTTTCCCAAGCTGTTCTCAACCCATGGGCTCAGGCAATCCTCTCACCTCAGCCTCCCAAATTGCTGGAATTACAGGCTTGAGCCACCACACTCAGCCACGATGGTTTTTATTACTTCATTTAGGCCTGCTTCATGGTTCTCAAATGAGTTACCTTATCTATTCCTTCAGGGTCAAATTTTCTCAAGTTTTTGTTTTGGGTTGGTTTTTATTTTTATTTTTATTTTTTTATTGTAAAGACGTGGTGTACAATTCAGGGTTAGGTATACAAACATTGATTATGCAGCTACCCTTGTTGAGGTATGCCCCTCCCTTCCCCCGGCAGTTTCCCTCAACTGCCAATCCCACCCCACTCCCCCGACAGTTTCCCATCACTGCCAAACACTTTCTTATAGTATTATAATTGTTCAAGTTCCACTTATGTGTGAGAACATATGGCACTCTGTTTTTTATTTCTGTGATAGATCACTGAGTATGATCCACTCCACATCCATCCAAGTTGCTGCAAAGTCCATATATTTTGCTGGCGAGGATGCAGAGAAAAAGGAACGCTTCTACACTACTGGTGGGAATGCAAACTGGTGCGACCTCTTTGGAAGACAGTGTGGCAATTTCTGAAAAAACTAGAAATTGACCTTCCATATGACCCAGCAATCCCCCTATTGGGACGATACCCGGAGGAACTCAAATCATTCTACAAAAAAGATACCTGCACATGCATATTTGTTGCAGCTCTTTTCACAATAGCAAAAACATGGAACCAACCATGTTGCCCATCGAAGGTGGACTGGAGTTTTAAAATGTGGTACATATACACAATGGAATATTATGCAACTATATTTTTTTTTATTTTAAAGTTGTGAGATACAAGTCAGGACTGCGTACATAAGCAGTTTATGTACCAGTAAAGTTTGGGAGCTCCCACTGGACCTCACTTTGCCTGGACTAGGATCAGGCACCCTTATTGATGTTATGTCCACCCTCCTCCCCTGGCAGTGTCTCCCCATTGCCAATCCCTTTTTTGTGGTACTATGATATATGTCCAGGATCCACTTATGAGTGAGAACATGTGGTACTCAGTTCTTTGTTTCTGTGATAGATCACTGAGTATGATAGACTCCAAATTCATCCAAGTCGCTGAGAAGTTCATAATTTTGTCCCTCTTTATGGTTGTGTAATATTCCATCATGTATATGTACCACATTTTTTTTATCCAGTGCAATTTTGATGGGCAGCATGGTTGGTTCCAAGTCTTTGCTATTGTGAATAGTGCTACAATAAACATGCGTGTGCAGGTACCTTTTTTGTAGCGCATTTGAGTTCCTCTGGGTTGAAAAAATGATATCAGAATATCTCAAGATGACTAGACCGTTGTGTAAACCACTGATTGAAGAGTTGGCTAGTTATTAATAGTTGCTGGTTTTCTTCATCTGTTCAAGAATAAAACCAACTCATGTGGTGGGGCATATTATTACACCATATGCAAATGCTTGAACCAGAATATGAAGAATGACTTTCAGGGCTGAACAAAGCCAGACTGCAGGAGGAATGCTTCTCCATCATATCTGTGTGACGTGCTGGCTGGTTGAGCATCTGATGGAGCCCTGAGCATGGTCACCAGTGAGCTCTGTCCATCATTTCTGTAAACCTCAGCTCCATCTAACAGAGCTCCTCAGTGCTTGCTACAATTCTTAATGACTTCTCATTTGAACTTATATTCTATAGATTAGAAGTAAAGTTCAAGGTGGAGCTTTTTTTCTTAAATCAATGTCTCACTTTGTCACCCAGGCTGGAGTTCAGTGGCACCATCATGGCTCATTGCAGCCTCAACTTTCGGGGTTCAGACAATCCTTCTGCCTCAGCCTCTTGAATAACTGGGACTACAAGTACATGCCACCATGCCCAGTTAAATTATTTTTGATCACTATTTTTCCCAGGCTGGTCTTGAACTCTTGGGCTCAAGCAGTCCTCCTGCCTCGGCTACCCAAATTGCTGGGCTTACAGGCAAGAGCCACTGCGCCAAGCTGAACTTAACCTGTAATTTAAGTTTTTTATCAAGTTTGTATATAGACACCTTGTGAATTATTTCAAACAATAGTACTCCTCCCACCAATATGAAACCATTATCATTTTTATGGTCAATTTTTAAAATTTTGGCTTTATCTTTTTTATTTTGAAACTTGTGCCAGTTTTTTTAATGAATTGAAAGATTTTGGTCCACACATTTTTTTTCAAACTTCTGTATGAAGGACCTACAGAGGGAAAATGATTGAGAAGTATGATATAGGGATTTGCAAACTATGTTTCTTGGATGTGTTCCTTCACAAGGAACATTCATTTTTCCATGAAATGGACCAACATGGTTTGCACTAAAATCATACAATGACAATTCCTATGTCATCAATCCACAGAATAATAGTAAGATTATGGAAAGAATTTTCTCAAGACTATGTTTTTCTTGCAAACCCTTTCTAAGATTTTTGACACCTGCCAGTCTTGTCTGCAAATGAGCATCACCAGTAAATAGTTAAAACAATAACCTGATAACAAAATAATATTTACTGAATTTTTAAGAATGTATTTTTTTTACTATATGTATGTGTCCAAAACAAGTTTTCTCTGGTAAAAACTATTTCTAGTTGACAAGACAAAATAAATGTCAACATATTTCAGTGTGTTCTGTAAAAAGTGCCATGACTTCTAGTTTCATTGGACAAAAATTGTTTCAGAAATTATGCTAAGTTAAAATCTTAGGCCGCCCAGGTGCAGCCCACAGGCCACTGAAGAGCCCGCCTGTGATCGCCCTCCCGTGCATGGCACAGAGCCGGGTGCCCGGGCTGCAGGAGGAAAGACGGCAGGGCTCCTGGGTAGAATTGCACTTTAGCAATAATGGGAACGGGAGCAGTGTCCCAGCCTCGGTTTCTATTTATCATGGTGACATGGACAAAACACTGCTGGATGCCCAGCATGAGTCTGGATGGAGTAGCTCCAAGAGTTCTCACTGTGACAGACCACCTCGCTCACAGACACCCCAGGATACTAACAGAGCTTCTGAAACAGACACCCATAGCATTGGAGAGGAAAACAGTTCCCAGTCCGAAGAAGATTACGTTGAGAGAAGGAAAGAAGTTGAAAGCATCTTGAAGAAAAACTTAGATTGGGTCTGGGATTGGTCAAGTGGGCCAGAAAACATTCCTCCCCAAAGAGTTCCTCTTCCAACACCCCAAGCGCACGGTTGCTCTCAGCATGAGAAACACAAGTGTTATGAAGGAAGGGGGCATATTCTCAGCAGAATTTCTAAAAGTGTTTCTTCCATCTCTGCTGCTGTCTCATCTGCTGGCCATTGGACTGGGGATCTACAATGGAAGGTGCCTGACAACCTCCACCAGCACCTTTTGATGAAGAATTGGAAACCGACTTTGTTCATACAGTGGATTCTATCTGAGCTTGCACCGTAGCTAACTGAAGAGCAGTTAGGGTCTTTGGGTGGCTGCATCACTTGTGTTCACTTGCTCTGTAAATGCCGCATTCCTAATTTAGTGAAATGAAAGAATAGACACTAAAATCATGCTGGCCTGTAATTATACCTGTGGGATCAATTAATAAGCATGTCAGACTGCAACAATTTCTTTGAATGTTAGACATAAACATCTAAGTATAAATTTTCAGATACTAGTCATGATGTATGAAGTATCTTAAAAATTAACTGTAACCTTAATTCAGATAAAACACTTTATATTTCAAAAGAATGAATAACATTGATAGTAAAATCACTACCTTAAGGAGTTTGTCCAATATATTGTGGCCTTATTCACACTCTTGTAGAAAATATTATTTAATTGAAATGGATGCAAGTTGTCTACTAAAGACTATGTGTTAACTGTTAATTGTGCTAACTGTTCCTAATAAGTAATAAATAGAAGCCAAGGTACAGCTGCAGCCTCCACTGTAAGATTCATACAATCAGCTGTTCTTGGCTTTGCAGTGGAAGGACTTTTTCAGGCTTTACGCTCGGTTTTCTGTTGGAGGCACCTGAATTGCTGAATTTAATCCTATCCTTTGTGCCCAACTTTTGTGTGCTCTTGAAATCAGCTTTGTTCCAAGCAAATCTGTATTAACTTTAAAAGACTGGAAATGGAAAAAAAATAAATCTTTGCCAAATCCTTCAAAAAATAAAATAAAATCTTAAACTTCCTCTGGGCAAAAATAAAATACCATAAATAAAGTACTGAAAGACAAACTGGAGGAAATTACAAATATACTAGGTTTTTATGACTTAGTGAGAAAAAAAGAAATGAATCAATAGAAAAAATGGAGTAACACACACATAGACATCACCCAGCTACAAATGCACAAGTCTAGGGGATCCCTGGTACAGAAGATACTGAACTCTTGCCGGGCTTGGTGGCTTAGCTGTAATCCCAGCACTTTGGGAGACCGAGGTGAGTGGATTACCTGAGCCCGCGGAATCGAGACCAGCTTGGGCAACTTGGCGAGACCTCGTCTCTACAACAAATAATAAATTAGCCGGGCATAGTAGTGCACACCTATAGTTCCACTACTTGGAAGGCTGAGGAGAAAGGATCGCCAGAGTCCAGCTGGTCAATGCTGGGGTGGCTATGAGTGTGCCATGGCACTCCAGTCTGGGCAACGGAGTGAGACTCCAACTCAGAAAAATGAAAGAAAATGCTGAACTCTACAGAGTAACAGAGATGATTCCTTCGATTCTTTCAAGGCTTGTGGTAAATATTCATTGGATCCTTATGTAATTATTTTTCTTTCTAAATCCATGTTCACCAAGCAACATTGTGATTGATCATCTGTTTTCTCAGGTTTTTGGAACCTGAAATGGATGGATTTCATTGTAAATCGTGAATGCATAAATTATCTCTGGGACCTATACATTAGTCTCATGTTAAAATAAACTTTGCAATCAATATTTTTAGTCAACAAAATACCTTCAGATGCCGGGCACAGTGACCCACGCCTGTAATCCCAGCACTTTGGGAGGCCAAGGCGAGTGGATTGCCTGAGCCCTGGGTTTGAGACCAGCCCGGGCAACTTGGCGAGAACTCATCTCTACAATAAATCAAAAATTAGCCGAGCGTGGTAGCCTGCACCTGTAGTTCCAGCTACTTGGAAGGCTGAGGTGGAAGGATCGTTGGAGCCTAGCTGGTCGACGCTGGGGTGGTCGTGAGCGTGCCACTGCACTTCAGCCTGAGCAACAGAGTGAGACTCCAACAGAAAAAAAAAAAAAGTAGCCAGATATGGTGATACACGCCTGTACTCCCAGCTACTTGGAAGGCTGAGGCAGAAGGATCGCCTGAGCCCGGCAGGTCAAGGTGGCAGTAGCTGTGATTAATTGTTCTACTACATTCTAGCCTGGGAGACAGAGTGATGCTTCGACTCAAAAAGAAAAAGAAAAAGAAAAAAAGAAACTTCTCATATGTGTTTCCTATTGTGAGTTTGGTTCTGAATCGCTTCTCCAGGCCTGAACAACCTTAAATAGGCTGACAGAATTCAAGTTTACGAACTTGCAAAGCCAGAAATTGGTAAAGCCAGGACCCTTTACCATGTTGATTACAAGACAAAAAACACTACCTGTAAAATAAATGACTTATAAATTGAACTTCGCTACAAAGATATCTATAAGAATATTTATAGCAGTCTTATTTTCATTAAAACCCCAAACTGGAAACATCTGAAATGTCCATCAGGAGAAAAATGGTTAAATAAATTGTGATATATCATACAATGGAATACTACACAGCAACAAAAAAGAAACCATTGCAACACACAACAGGGATCACTTTGGCAGACATAACGTTGATTAAAAGAAGCCAGTTACTAAAAAGTTTGTTTACATATTTCCCCAAACAGGCAAAAACTAATCTGCTATAAATCAGAATAGGGGTTATCTTTGGGGTGACATCAGCTTAGAGAAGGAGCATAAGGCAACCCAACAGCATTCTAGAAATAAGCTATATCTTGATCTGAGTAGTGATTGCAGGCATATATACATATTCAGATTTTTTCTGAGTTGTACCCTTTAGATGTATGTTTTCCACAGTATATAATCTATACCTCAGTAAAATAAAATGTTAGGGTGGCTCATACCTGTAATCCCATACTCTGGAAGACTGAAGCATGAGGATTGCTTGAGCCCAGGAGTTTGAGGCCAGCTTGGGCAACATAGTGAGATCTTGTCTCTACAAAAAAAAATCAAAAAATTAGCTAGGTGTGGTGGTGCACACCTGTAGTCTTCGCCATTTGGAAAGCTGAGGCAGAAGGATCACCTGAGTGAGCTCAGAGGTCAAGGCTGTGATCATGCCACGGCACTCCAGCCTGAGTGACTCAGAAAAAGGAAGGCAAGGAGAAAGAAACAAACAAGGGAAAATTTAATTTTTAAAAATTTTCAACACCTGAGATAAAGAGTTACATGTGTCTTGTGATCATTTGTCTAGTAACTTTTATTTTTGCTTAGTTTCCATGGAGACTGTCAAAAATTACCAGTGCCAGTCGTCATGACAGGGTACTGGGAAAAGTTTTCAGTTAACAATAATCAAGCCTTATCAGTTACGACATTGCCACTGTGGAAAGCTTGCTTACTAACTTTCAAGTGGGCACTAACTAATGCAGAATGTATCTGAGAGGGAAGCAACTAATCCTTGGATAACCACACAGTGAAGTTCTGCTGGGAAAGCCTTGAAACGTCGTGAAAAGGAAACACTCCCTTTGTGTTTGTTGGTGATTTAGGAGAAGAAGTGCATTTCTAACAAGATGCCAGTGATCCAGTCCTGGTCATTTAGAAACTGCAATTTGTCTGGGTGGTACTGGCCAATGAAGGTGGAGACGAAGAGGTGAGCCATGTTGTCTCCAAGAGAAAATGAGCTCCAGGGACATTCCATGACTTTCTCTCTCCTGGAAGCCAAACCTCTGGATGGAGGGGTTGCAGAGGCAGGTGCCCATCCAGAGGCACATTTTGCAACTACCAGGAACCAGAGGGTAAAAAAGTGTAGCAGGAGAAAGGTTGGGATTTGGCGCCCCCTACAGGAAAAAAGTATGCCCAAGAAGATGCTACTGAGAGCCAAGTCACCCAGAATCTGGTCTAGGGACCTGTGCTTGGTCAAGGGCAATTCTTCCATGCATGCATGCATCCCCCAGCCCCGGGAGTACCTGTCAAGGGTAGAAGAGGCCTAGTGCAGAAAATTGGCGTCCTAGAGAAGACATGGAACTCTCTGTGGATCTAGACCTCACCGGGCTGACCCAGAAAGCAGCACACCACATAAGACCCAAAGACATGCCACAACTAAATCTGGTATTTTTCTTCTATTTACAAACCTTATGGGAACAACCTTCTGGGGGCACTTCTGCAAGAGACTGCAAATGCTTTATGTGAGGAAAATGAATTCACTCCACATTCATCTGTTGCCTATGTGTTTCAGGCACCGTTCTTGGCACTAGGGGAAAAAGCAGGAAAACAAAAGCCCAGCCCAGGTGGAGTGTACTGAAAATGTAACTGTCTTTTTTTTTTTTTTTTTTTTTTTTGTTTGGAGTCTCACTCTGTCGCCCAGACTGGAGTGCAGTGGCCGCTCCCAGCCACCGCAGCCTCGCCTGCTGGGCTCCGGCGATCCTTCAGTCTCAGCCTTCCGAGTAGCCGGAACTACGGGCGTGCGCTACCACGCCTGGCTGATTTTTGATTTATTGTAGAGATGAAGTCTAGTCAAATTGCCCAGGCGGGTCTCGAACCCGCGGGCTCAGGCAATCCACTCACCTCAGCCTCCCAGTGCGTGGGATTACAGGCTGAGCCACCAAGCCCACCTCAATGTAACTATCTTAATAGATAACAACAACAGCTAAATACAAATCTCTTTGTTGGGAAAATACCTATTTAAGTAGCTTTCAGGGGAAAGACAGCATGAAGACATGTATTAGGGTCAAGGTGACCAAAGACTAAATCTCTCTACATGGCAAAGGAACTTGAATTTTAAGCCAAATCAACCTTTGAAATGACAGCCGTGTGGAATTTTTTTTTTTTTTTGTCTGAGTCTCACTCTGTCACCCAGGCTGGAATTCAGAGGCATGCTCACACCTACTGCAACCTCGACCTGATGGGTTCACATGGTACTCCTGCCTCAGCCTTCCAAGTAGCTGAAACTACAGGCATGCACCAACTTACTTGGCTAATTTTTTAATTTATTGTAGAGATAAGGTCTCCCCAAGTTTCTCAGGCTGGTCTCAAACCCCTGGGCTCAGGCAATCCTCTTGCCTCTGCCTCCCAAAGTGCTAGGATTACAGGCGTGAGACACCGTGCCCAGCCCATGTGAAATATTATATAGGGGGAGATAATCAATTAAATACCCAGCCATGGGGTAGGCCAGGGACTCTTAGTAAAAAGG